ATTTAATAAATATTTAGTTGGCAGTTATATATATATATATATATTCAACTAAATATTTATTAAAATTGACTATATTTTTTTTCAGTGTAATTATTGAACCATATACCTGCAGCGTCGTAATTATACTGGATCTTGCGACTTTCAAACGCTAATTGTAATTTAACGTAAATTAATTATATATTTTCTAATATATAATCAAACTTTACTCTTAACCCTCGAACATCACACTTATTTTCGATACCTTTGGACGACACACATGAGTCATTCGTGTTCGACTCGATTTTAAGGCTTTTAAAGTGCTCGAAAAATTCTGTAAAAATTCACACATATTCTTTAAGGTCTCTACTAAATTATTCTGCTATGCAAACATTGGAAAACATGTTTAGAAAAATTATGAAAATTATTTTTTGCACCAGAAAAAGAAAATAATTCAGTTTTGATATAAAAATTGTAACTTTGATTTTTAAAGAAAAAAGCAATTTTTGATTTTATAAAGTACAAAAATGATTATTTTTAATGCATGGACAGTTAATAATCATCTCACTGATTAGTATAAATACGATTAATTGTTATAAATAATAATAAATAATAATAAAAGAAAAATAAATAAATTAAATAACAGAAAGAATCCTATTTTCGATTCAAGTGGATCCTGATGTTTAATATTTATTCGGATATAAATTTTTCACACTAAGTATAAGCATATTCAGGCCTATGATGGTCAAAGCTAGATCTTTTTTGTCTAAATAATTCCCAGGCAATTATCTATATCCTATACCATATATGTACATGCATATATATCATATTTTTGTAGTTATTATTTTGTAGGTTTTCAGCACATTGTCAATTTAATTTAACTTGTGATATTATTGCAGTAGTTTAATTGCGTTAGATAAAGTTCGGAAAAATTTCGGCGCGCAGTTTGAATAACTACAAAAATATGATATATATGCATGTACATATATAGGATATAGATAATTCTGGGAATTATTTAGGCAAAAAAGATCTAGCTTTGACCGTCATAGGCCTGAATATGCTTATAGTTAAGTGTTCAATTCTTGTCGGGGTCTCTCTCTCTCTCCCCCCCCTCTCTCTCCCTCTCTCCCTCTCTCTCCGAATAAAATCCTATTATAAATTTTTCAATTTAATTTGTCGCATTTAAAACAAAATTATAAATTGAAGTTGAAAATATCACAAATCACATTGTCAATTTAATAACAATACCAATAAGCATCCTAAAACATTGCAAGGAATTTATTGCAAAAAATATCACTTTACCTATAAGGTGATATATTTTTCGCAATAAATTCTTTGCAATGTTTCAAGAAGCTTGTTAATATTGTTATTAAATTGAATTATTGAATTGAAAAATTTATATATAAATATTATTAAGCATCAAGATCCGTTTCGGAAATAGATTTCTTCCTCTTATTCAATTAATTATTATAATCGAGAATAAAAGAAAATATTAAGAATTTGCGATATGTATATATCAAATTGTACGTATATACATACATTATATGATTTCAGACATCGTGAATTGTGTGAGAATCGAGGCGACTGGCCTTTTCTGAAATAGCATTGCCCTTTATTGGGGTTCTCTCGGTTTTTCTCGGATTTAATTCCGTCTCCATATATCGTTCATCATTGCTTGAGACACGGTAAAAATATCCTTTCCCGTTATTTATACAATTAGCGATCTTCTAAAAATTCCAGTTAATTGTCCATTTTTACTCGGTCTTTTCCTAAAAATTTATATTGCAACTCGAATTAAAAATACTATCTATTCAATAATGACATCAAGTAACGTCTCGTTAATATAATATAATTACAAGAAGAATGATCGCAAAAGAGAAAAAAAATATTGGGTTTCTTTAGAAAAACAAAAAATGATGTCAGAACTATTGTAGTTACAAAAAAGCCAATTAATTTTTAATGAACCCTTTTTACATAGATACTTCATATTCTTTTTTTCTCTCTTCAAATAACTCGCGCTTTATAAATAATACGAATAACGATAACATTTTTTTCCGATATTATCCCGCGATATCGGACGAAAACTAATTAGCCAATCTACACATAAAAATTTGGACAAACTATTTTTTTGTACATGTATATAATTAGAATATTCTCCAATATACGACCTTTAAGCGAGAATATATTACTTTTGAGGATTCGCTCGAGGAGGGACAGAAATAAAAAATAGAATACGAATAGAAATTCTCATTACAGGCTGTCGTTCGTGGAGGAACCAAGGGATTTGCAATAAGAACCAAGATATCACATAGTCTTATGACGTCCGTGGTATCGTATTTTGATACGAAGTCTTTCGGGAATCAGAATTTCCGCTGTAATTGACCGTATATTTGTCACGTGAATACTGCGAGATCGATACACCGAATACGAAATAAACAAGAAGCAAATAGTAAACTTGATCACCTTCGATATTTAAATGTAGGAAAATTGCACGATTTAAAATATTACAATAATTATCGTGGACATATGCATACAATTTTGTTACGGTGGAGTAATGTTCCACATAAATGTTTATAAGTCGTGTAGGTGATTAGACTCTATATATAACACATAACTGTTTTATATATATATATATATCGTTTATATACATATATATATATATATATATAAATATTTCGCAGTGTTTTGTATTATATAGTTTTTGTAAGAGTTTATTGCAAAAAATATCACTTCACCAGATAAGATTTTTTTCGCAATAAGTTCTTTCATGCAAAGTTCTAATCATGCTCATTCGCATAATTATTAAACTGACATTATTGAAAAATAAATCGTAAATTATGTGTTATTTAACCATTTCGTAAAATATTTTCTGTGTACGTTTGTTTATTCAAAATATTAAGCGCAAAATAAACAATTAAGGAAAATATTTTATAGTTTAAATTTGTATAAAATATTATTTTATTATTAGCTATTTACATTCTTTTACATTCTATAAGTTTTCTGTGATCATAATAATGAAGAATCAAAGAAGTTAAAAATACATTCATTATTATTCATATTAACTTACAGATCATGTAACCATTAGAATTAATAATTAGAACTGCATGTATTTTCAATCACAGATTTAGATAACAGATATTATATCATATTATATTCTCAAGCTAATTAATATATTTCACTTCATCAATACTCCTGTATAGACAAACTTCTTCAATGTCTACCAAGTTTTCCACACTTGGATTTATTATAATTTTTCAATCTAAATTGTAAGTAAATAGTATATAGATGTATTAGGTATAATAAGAATGATAACGCACACACATAAGAAGCGTATTAATCAGTGAATATATTGATCGTCTATCAATATAAATGATATACATACATGTATATTTACAATGATATACGAGACTTAAAAATTGATTAACTAGTTATGTATAGCTATCAAGATCATTTTAGTCATTTAAAGTAAGCGTGCTAAATTCGATTTCACGGAAAGGCATTATTTTATGAAATTGTTACGTTGTAACAAAATTTTTTTTTCATAAATTTGTTTATTCCGTCAACAATTATATGATGAAGATAAATCATATCAATCAAGTATAATCTAATGTAACGTAAATTAATGTAGCAACATAAAATACGTTAAATAAGACGTTTCTGTAAGATATAGAATATTTTTTTACTAATTATGAAAATGTCTTCGTCAATCACAAATTTTACTCCTTTAACTCTAAAAGGGCGGAATAAAGGAGCCAAATTGGCTAAACGATCTTTCTAAGTAGACAATTAAAAAAAAAATTCAATCATTTTATATAATTAAAAATTTTTTTACTAAAATTAATAACATGCAAAATACTGAAAAGTCACAAAAGGATATCACGTGAAAGCAAAATTGAAAAAAGTTATACTAGTTTGAATTTCGCGAAGAATCAAATTGGCTACCTCGGTCCTTCTAGTTAAAGCAAATAATTTTTTCCTACGACACATCATACAAAAGTGACGGAAATATTTACCGTAGTAATGAAAAAAAAAAAGAATACCCTATATATAAATTTTGTCATATATTTTATAACTCAGGCGAGAAAATATATTGTCTAAAAAATAAATAATTACTGATAATTACGCATTTGGTTTTATAGAATACTTACTTGTAAGAATGGCAATAATTACATTGATTTAGGAACAATGCGATACCATATATCATTTAAGATAATGGTTACAATCTTAGCAAATTGACAAAAATGTTTTCAAAAATGAATCATAGTTACCTATCAATTTCCACAAATTAAAAAGATGTAATGTCACTATTATATTGATATAAGTGACTGTGGAATAAAAAC